CCCAGTCATCTTATACGCTGGAAAATACGGTAATTTCTATGAAAAGGGTTTCCCAACACTGATGAAACCCTGTCAGGAAAAATAATGCAGCAGTATGGTTCAAATCCCCACTCAGCCATGGAAACCCACTGGGTGACTTTAGACAAGTCACACACTCTCAACCTCAGAGGAAGGCAAAGGCAAACTCCCTTTGAACAAATCTTTCCAAGAAAACCCTGTGGTAAGTTCACCTTCTTCTTGTTGTTATTGCTGTGTGCCTCAGTCATTTTTGACTTACAGCAAATCTATCATGGGGTTTTCTTGGCAAGTTACTTTAGAAGGGGTGCGCCATTGCCATCCTCCAAGACTGAGAGAGTGTGACTTCCCCAAGGTTATCCGGTGGGTTTTTATGCTCATGCAGGGAATCGAACCCTGATTTCTAGAGTCATAGTCTGATGCTTAAACCACTACAAAGCATAGGCTATTAGAGTCACCATAAGCTGAAAATGACTTGAAGGCACACAACAAGGTTTCAGTACTGTTTTCTTCCAGTATACACGCTTGGCAAACTTTCCTCTATTGTCATTATTACATGTAGAACTATTCTGCAAATATCTGGGGGGGGGGGGTTTCTGTGCAAAACCCAATTTTTTCCCCACAAAAGCTTTTGGTTATTTTGCTTAAAATGTCATTCCTGCATAGAAAATTTGCTTTCTGTGAAAACAAGAATACTTTGGAACCTAAAACACCTGGAGAATACTGCCTAGAAACCTGCTCTTCTGAGGTGCAGAGTAAAATATAGAATTATTTGTCCTTCCATGCAAGGACAATAACCTGAACAAGGCTTAGGTAACTGGTAATATCATTAAAGATTTTGACAAGGCATGGTATAGGGAAGGATGAAAGAAAGCAGATTATGAAGGATACTACAGTCTTTGCAACTTTATTAAACTAAAAGCATGCACAGGTAAGAAGTAAAATACACTCTGTTCATGGGAGCTTACTCTCAGGAGAGTGTGACTGGCAATACAGGCCTTGTCTTGGCATTACAGTTCTTGTCTTTATTTGCATTTAGCATTTTAAATTTTCAAATAAACACTGCATGCAAAAGAATCTAAGAAAACCCAACTGTATGTTTTATTGCTATAATTTTGAAAGGGTTAATCTGGAGTGAAAAGTCAGCAGAGTAGTAGTGCCTTAACCCTTTTCTGACTCTCTACATGATTTGCATAATTAGCAGATAATCTACATAATGTGCATGTTAGGCCAACTGGATTTGGAGAACTGGAATAATGTGTACCAGATGAGTAAAGATAAAACAGGAATATATGTTCCATGAGTCGGATATATGAGTTTTTATCTCTGATTCATTTACCCAATTGCTTTCTCTGCCTTTCTAGACCTTACTTACAGGGAAATAATCTACTGCTACCCATCTTCATTCCATAGTGGTGTATGCTGCTCAAAAAAGACAAAATAAGAGGTTCCACAAAGTTCTCAGCCTCTACCCACTTCCCAAAATCTAAGTGTAATTTTGTCACTGTAGCTTGAAAGAGTGATCTTTTTACTGTAAACTGCCAATTTGCAGAATCGTAAACTCCAAAAGGAAATCCTTGAGTGAATGATACAAACACTGAGTGAAAAGTGCTTGTCATATGCAACTGTGAAGAAGTGGTGCAGCAACTTTTAATGTGGGGATTTTGAGACTGGTCTAGGAGGCCTTCAACAAAGTCAACATCTGAAATTGTTGAGGATGTTCATGGCCTGATTTTGGCAGCTCAGTGGATCTCAGCTAAAACAATTGCTGAGACTCTAGAGATATCCTGGGAACACACTGGATTTATAATTCATGAGCAGTTGGCTATGTGGAAGCTGGCAACCAAGCGGGTTGTTTGAATCCTGAGCAGAATGTTTGAATCCTGAGCAGAAACAAATCAAGTAGATACTTCCACGTTGATTTTTGCAGCATTTTGAATGATCTAGTGATAATTTTTTAATGATTCATCACTGTTGATGAAACACGATTACACTGCTATGATCCAGAGCCAAACAACAGTCCTTGTAGTGATAGCATTCAGGCCAAAGAATCTTCATGGCCAAAGAAATTCAAGACTCACAGGTCAGCAGGAAAGGTGAAGGCCACAGTTTGGGAGCATGAGGAAGGTATTCTGATGACTATCTTCAGAAGGACCAGACAGTTGATGCAAATATTACTCTAACTTGCTGTGCTAATTAAAGGAGGCACTGAAAGGAAAATGGTGAAGGAAGCTGTGGATAAGTGTTCTCTTTTTTCAGGACAATACACTTGCTCACAAGGTTGGCAAGACAATGGATGTTTTGAAAAATTGGGGTTTGAGTGCATACACCATCCACCCTACTCATCAGATCTTGCCCCATCTGACTACTTTCTGTTTCAAACCTTTAAAAGAGTTTGAAAGGAGAAAAATTTTCAAATGATTCAGAGATTATAGCAGCAGCAGCAGAGCATTATTTCAGTGACCAGACATAAGGGGGGGGGGGGGTTTGCAAGAAATGAGAAACTATGTGCTAAATGTGTCAAACCTTGGGATGAAGATGTGGAGTAGTATTTAAGTTTCATAGATCTAGGTCATTCCCTTCTTGGTCAGACTGAGAACTTTTCTACACCCCCCTCGCAGAAGTCATTGGGTATGATCAGAAGTGGTGTACCCACGCTTTCATTTTAGTTCCAATCATAGTTTACAGAGATGGCTATGCTGGCTAGGGAATTCTGCATGTTGTAGTCCAAGCAAGTAACATTTCCAGCTTCTGAAACTACTCCACTCAGAGTTGTTTTACAAGTACATTTTCATTATTTCTCTAGGAATATAAGAATCCTACTGGATTAGACTGAAGACCTAGCCTGGCATTCTGTCCAGCCACTCACTCACCAGATCTCAAGAAGATCTTGCATGTAGGGACATCTTACTGCTCATGTTCTCTAGCAACTGGTATTCAGAGCCACTTTATGGTTTGAAGTGGAGAGTTTAAAACATAAACATTAACAAAGGTTAGTGCTGTTACTTGTGACTGAGTATACAAAAATGCAGACACTGGGAGCACACAAATGAGAACATTTCTAGTGCCTAGCTGAGAAATTTAACTAGGCCACAAATATGAAATCAAAAAATGAGTAGTTGGAAGTGTTTTAAACTTGATTGTACCCACATAATGTATATCTGAAAGTGTGTAACTAAAATAACAGGAGAACAGATTGACTCCAATCAACCAAGAAAAAGCAAGCAATCACAAGAGGGAAGAGCAATAACTGGTCTTAAGTTTTTGAATGATTAAGTTTTAGAATGATTGGGTAAATGTAAAGGTAGTCCCTTGACATGAATGTGTACTTGTAATCAACTGTAGGGGGCAGTGCTTATCTCTGTTTCTAAGCTGAAGAGCCAGTGTTGTCCGAAGACGACTCCGGTGGTCATGTGGCCAGCATGACTGCACCAAACACTGTTTACCTTCCCACTGAAGTGGTACCTATTTATCTACTTGCATTTGCATACTTTCAAACTGCCAGGTTGGCAGAAGCTGGGACTAGTGACAGGAGCTCACCCCATCATGCAGCATTCGGGCCTCGAACTGCCAACTTTCCAATCTTCCAATTGTCAGAACTGGTGTCTTAACCACTAAGCCACCACATTCCATAATGATTAAATGATGCAATAATTTTTCTTTAGAGTCAGAAATAATGAAAAATAATGGTTCGGGAAGCACTGCAAATAATGTCCATGTGACTAGACTAGGAGATAACCTAATGTTTGTTAGGAGGGATCTAATTAGAGGAATTCATAATTAGCTCAAATATGCAAGAGTGGGGTCCTAACAAAGCCCTGCGGGACTGGGTACCGATATATATACCAGAGGACTAAGAGATCCCACAATGGATGACGCTGAGACAGGCTTCTCCAATTAAAGTCTCTAAATATTTATTAACAGGGGAAAATTGCACACACACAAATATGGCACTCAGAGATAAAGGAGTGAAAGCGGGAATAGCTTAAGATGGGCCAGATTGAGGGAGTTACTCACTTCTGAAGGCTTCTCTGGGATCTGCTGTGGATGTTGATGATAGTGATGATGATGATGCATGGCCGCCGAAATGGGGGAAGGGATGGCCGAGAGAGCTATGATCAGAGCGCAGACTAACATGGAGCCAAGCTGCATTCCAAAGATAGCACATTGAGCCTAAAAATTTCAGGGTTTAAATAGGAAATTTATACCTTCTGGCTATTGACTAAAGGGCTTGGCTGAAGCCTGGACGAAGGTGTTGATAGTCTTAGCTTTGTTAAACCTAGGTGTGAGAATAGACTAAACAATGCATTTAGTTTTGAGACTCTCAAGGAAGGGAGGCTAGAGAAAAAGGTGCAGTCAAATCTGATCACTGCCCCTTTAAGTGTGAGACTCAAGACAAATAAGCACTATTATGTGTCTTTTCCAGTATAATGGCTTTTCCCTTTTAGCAACTCCCAACCCTGTCTGGGAGGGAATTTTCCAGCTGTCCTGGGCAGATTGCTCAGTGCCTACATGACCTGCCATCTAGGGGATTATGGCCGACATCCCACAGAGGTCAGTCTGGGGTCATAGAGGGAACTCCACATGTGTCCAAAATTTTATGAAAAATCACATATACTAATATGTTGGCACTGAAAGTTTAACTTTTGTAAGTGCTCTAATATACCTTTGGTGTGAGTAGAGAATTTTTAAATCTGGCCTATAGTTACATCTTTCCTTTGTTCTTACATTTCCAGACAGATATACCTAAAC